TTGAAGAACATCTGGAAGCTCCAGTTGGTGCAAAATGCGGCGGCCCCCATGGTTTTGTGCAAACCCTGGTGCGCACGTTTCACCTCTCCTGCAAGAGCTGCATTGGTTGGCGATTTGCTTCTGGGTACAATTCAAGGTGTTGGTTGACATCTTTAAAGCCCTTCATGGCTTGGGACCAGGTTATCTAAGGGAACGTCTCTTTCCGGTCACATCTAGCCGACCCATTAGAGTGAGGAGGCAGGGAATGCTGTGGGTCCCATCCCTGGGGGAGATACACGTGGTGGGACCCAGAAGAAAGGCCTTTTCCATGGTGGCTCCCTCTCTCTGGAACATCATAACCCCAGAGATTAGAATGGCTCCCTCTCTAATACTCTTCTGGAAGGCACTGAAACCTGGTTCTGCCAGCAGGCCTGGGGAACCCAGAGTGCGATGGAGCCCATCAAATGGCTCATGTGATCTGCTGTTGTCACGGCGGGGGGGGGGAGAGAGTTGGTGATTTTGTTCTATTGTACTTTATTAATTTTACTGAGTCTTTTTGTTAGTTTTTATTGTTTTTTATTTTAAATATGGTTTTACATTCTGTATGCTGCCTCAAGTCACCACGGGCAAATAGGCGGCAATTTAAATTCAATAAATAAATAAATAAATATTTGCTTTATGGATTTTGTTATTAGAGCATTTGAATCTGGGCTACCTATTGATTTAATATTTTTAGCTTTTATGTGCCTTTTTTAGTTTTGTGTGCCACCCACAGTTAGGCAGCCAGTAAATTTAAAGTTTATTATGACAACGTGCCAATTTCTCTCATGAAATGGCTTTTATTTCCCTTTGTAAGTTGTGACTATTCCTTTTCAATCTTGGGCATTTGTTATGTAGATTATTATTTATAGAATAGAATAGAATAGAATAGAATAGAATAGAATAGAATAGAATAGAATAGAATAGAATAGAATAGAATTCTTTATTGGCTAAGTGTGATTGGATACATAAGGAATTTGTCTTGGTGCATATGCTCTCAGTGTACATACATGTGGAATGGCCTGATTGTACAGCATTCTGTCACCTTTTGTGTAGGTTTCCTCTTTGGAACGACATTACATTTATCATTTTGGTTTGAACTTTTTGTATGCCTCCCAGTGTCATTGCTATGAGAGATTGGCAGCAATCTTCTATAAATCATTCAAATAAAGGATAAACAAAATTTCATTTATTTCTCTGCACCCTCAATTAATACGTAGGTGGGATGTTTAGCTTTTTTTTCCTAGCAGGTAATCAGGTGCCTGATAATAGACTTTTAAAATTTGCACCAGTAACTGCCAAGCAAAGGAAGAAAGCCTTGGAATTTTGCCTTAAGACATCTGATTGTTTTGCCTCCTTATTTCCTTCCTGCCCAAGCTATTCTGCTTCAATAATAAGCAGACTCCCTGGACACATGCCAGGTCAGTGTTATACCTGCACATGTTCTTCTGTTTCCAAATCTGATGGCATGAAAAGTCAGGAGAGTAGAGATACCACAACTGGGCTATAAAAATCCAGACAACCAAAAGATGGCAGCAAAGAGATCAGAAAGTTTCAATTACCAACTGCCATCTAATGGTTACTCAGATTTCTTGCCGTCCAGAAACTGTTACTCTTTTTTTGTGATGGTGTAGGGTGCTTTCAAGTCACTTTATGACTCCTTGTGGCTTTCTGGACCAATCTCTGCAGTTGGCAAGACTTTTTGGAAATATTTTGTCCTTATACCTTTTCAAGAACTCAGCTAGAATGATTGCCCCAAAGTCACCCAGCTGGCTTTGTGGCTAAGGCAGGACTAGAACTCACAGTCTCCCAGTTTCTAACCTGACATCTTAACTACTATACCAAACTGGTTATAATATGCTATATAGTAGAGGAAACAAAACACAACAGAAAAAAAAAAACAGTAAATCAAGCAAAGGGTGGAAATAGATAAAAAAAATCTGGACTATTCAGTACAGTTCTGGTCATCTGACCATCTTATGAAGGATTCTGGATTTTTTAAAATACATTAAGCTATGCCACCTAAACTGGATTAAAGAACTGTATCATTAATGAAGTCCTGCAGCTTCTTCTGTTCTCCTGATCCTAGGAGAAAGCTTAATCTTATCTCAGGCAATGTAGCATAAAGTAAACCAAATGAGTACCTAAACTGATTCCCTGCAGCATCTGGTGATAGTGTAAAGATAATTAGACAGGATTCAATTATGTGCTGCCTAATGGTGCTAGACACAGTATACATAGGGCTAGCATAGCACAGGCTCCTTTATAACTTTTCATCAAATTCAGGAGAATAAATATGAAGTGCAAGATACTCAATTTCCAATATTGGAATACTTTTATTGTATGACCATGCTTTTAAGGGGAATTTTTAATAAGCATAGTTTACAGGTAATGGGTGCCTTCAATCATTTGTTTAGTGACCATTCAAAGTTACAACAGCACTGAAAAAAGTGATTTATGACTATTTTTCACACTTGCAACTATTGCAGCATCCCCATGGTTACATGATCAAAACTTGGATGTTTGGCAACAGCATTTATTTAGGATTGTACTATCTTGGGGTCATGTGATGACCTTTTGCGATCTTCTGACAAGCAAAGTCAACAGGGAAGTCAGATTCATTTAATCATGTTATTAACTGCAGTGACTCACTTAACAATTGTGCCAAGAAAGGTCATAAAATGGGACAAAACTCATTTAACAACTATCTTGCTTAGAAATGGAAATTTAGGGCTCAATTATAGCCGTAAGTCAAGGACTACCTGTAGTTCAAAGTTAGGACCTACTTGAAAAAGGGGATTTGCAATTTGGATGTGAGGTTCTGACAGTTGGATTCCCACCCACAACAATCACAAGACTGCACTTCAGACAATTGGTAACACAACTGCATTAACAACCATTTGCAGTATCCTGTATTCACATGACCATGTTTTATAACTATTTTGCTTAAAAGTTGCACGTACTTTTTGGCAAAATTGTGTTCAGAGTGAGCAGTGGGTTCATTTAATGGCATGGTGATCACTTAATAACTGTGGCGTTCACACTTTAAATCATGGCATTGCTTAACGACTGCTGCAAAAATAATAATAAAATCAGGTTGATCACATGACCAACCAATTTTATGACTGTTACAACTTTTAGCAGTAATGGCCAGTCTCCATTATGTCGTACCTTCAGTATTACCTGTCTTAGTGGTTTAAAAAATGATATGGCATATTTTTCACTGGGCATATCAATTTCTCCTCATCACACATTCAATATATTTTGCATTCCAACAACCATTTTGAAAAGTTGCTCAAGAATTATAGAGCTCAAAAAATGGAGCTCATATTCTACAGACGCTATGGTATATTACATCTGAATATAGCAAGAATAATCTCATCCAGTATTCAATATGAAACCAGAGCTGGTCAGCTGCTTTGGAGAAATGTTTATGTAGGATTTAAAAGTATTCCTCATCTACTCTTATTCCTAGAAGTGCATTTGGAGCCGTATTATTTTTGAATCTGATATTTCTTGTAAGTTTATAAAGGGTTTGGTTGACAGCTGCCTCTTTAAAATGTAAAATGCAATTGTGAATGGTACTATGCCTGCAGTAAGAGTATAAATAAATCCAATGAAATCCAATAGTTAACCAAGAAAGAAAATTTAGAGCAATCATCTGCTACAAAAATAAACGTAGGGCATTTCCTAAACGAACAAAAGTTAAAAACGTATTTATAGAACAGATTCAACCATTTAAATTATCATTAACCCTTTCTTCAAATATAGCTGCCCCATAATACCAGTGTCATTCAGACGTTTCATAAAAACAAAGCTGAAATTAACATACCAAGCTTGCAATAAAGTGAGCAATATTTGTATACATCAGGTTTCTGCAATCTAGTGCCTCCAGATGTGTTGGGAATTAAACATATGGTTGAATTATCTACTGATTATAGCAGCTGTAGTTGAATATATCTGAAGACACGAAGTTTGGGAAGGATGTGTATACTAGTTGAGGTTGATTAATATAGATTTTAACATTACCAAGGCTATCAAACTATGGTTGGATTATAAAAGCAATTTATATTCTTGAAAAATATTCTTGCAAACTATCAAGGCATGTCTATATACAGTATATGCAATTTTCTACAACATATGTAGGAAATAAATACATAAAATACATCTTGCATTTATAACCAGGAATGTGATTGCTAGAATATATTGTTTGCAATCCTGTAATGACACTTGTTCCAAATTACCTCTAAATGACAAGTTACATGAACCTCTATCAGGGCGAATGCCTTTCTGTAGTAGGTTATGATTATGGAACATTCCCCAAAGAGAACTTTGTAATTCCTTTCTAGAGGCAAACCTATTTATTTTAATATTTGAAAACTGCCAAGATTTGCAAGAATAGCAGTTCTGAAACAAATCAATAGTTGTTAGGCATTATGAGGCTCAACTAGAAAATTCTTGAATCCTTATTAAAAAAACCAAGATACGACAGGATAAATAAAAGTATATTTAGATTCCAATATAAAAGCAATAATAAAACTATGTGCAATTATGCATCATTGGCTATCAGGCATTCAAACACACTATCCATTAGTACATTTTGTCAAATCTCACTATGTTCAATGGAGTTTATCATTGTGAGTATATCTTATTGCAACTTTCATTCCCTCCACCTTATCAAAGGCCATCATATACTGAATTGGGAGAAAGAAATAGAATCGCAGAGAAGAACATGCTTACTACCAGGATCCACTGATAAATAATGGAACAATCATCATGCAATAAACCTGTTAAAAGATTTTTTTTTTTTTAAGATTCCGATGTTCAGTCAAATTATAATTATTCCCTTTTAACCTAGGCAGAGTTTGAAATGCAGAGTTTCAAAAGACATAAAAAAAAACAAATGGTATGAGTGAGCAAAAGAAACATTAAGAAGGAAAAGGGAGGATTTGGGGTGCGGGGGGGAGGAAGGGCTCTTCTACCTTGGTTAGCTGAGCTATTTTCTTGCTCATTTTGAGATGGAGATCCTGGTTGTATTCCATGCCGAAATGGGAGGACATCACCGAGGAAGAAGAGCTGGTGTTGAATTTCCCAGTGCCGGTCGAAGAACTGCCGCTGTAGTAGTGCTGCTGCCAGCTCATCCCTGGTGTCGCCATCTTCCACAGCAGAGACCCCGTTAACGGAGCTGCCAGGCACCCGGGAGGTGGGGGGAGAGGGAGGATGAAAAGCAAACGTGGGGAAAGGGAGGAAGGATAGAAACCGGCCACTAGCGCTTTGGCCAAGAAAGGGAAGAAGGTGCCCAAAGGAAAGCGGGGCGGTGAAAATACCCCCTCATCCCCTCCTCCCGCTTTTTTTTTTTTTTTCAGGGACAAGCGCGCACTCGCGCGCTCACAAAGTACACACAACGCACCAGCACCTGGCCCTCACTGTCTCCTCTTTCAGGCCCAAGTGGTCATTTTAGTCTCTTCTTGCTCCGTTTGTCTCTTTTCGGCTGGGAGGAAAGAAGGAAAACCAAAAAAAAAAAAAAAAACCCCAAAACAACAACCCACCAAGGGCCCTACAGCCTCTCGTCCCCCGTTTCACGCTGGTGAGGGAGACGGGTATTTGGAGAGAGAAACCCCCCCCCCCCAAAAAAAAGTATGAGCTTCCGTTCAACGGATGTATGGAAAACAGCCTCCTGCCTCCCTCCCCTCCCACCTCCACCCTCTGGGAAGTCCCAGCAGTCAGTATCCTTTCTCCCGTCGAGAGATGACAAGGACCAGGGGGAGTAGAGGGAAGGCGAGGAGAGGAAAGATGGTCCCCGCTCTTCCTTCACAGGAGCATCGCTCCCCGCGGGGCCCTCTTTGAACTCCCGCGGAAGGAGAAGGACTCCTTCCTTCAGCCGCTCTGCGCTTCCAGGGCTCCTCTTTTCTCGGCGCAAAGAGAGAAAACGGAAGAGGCCGCCACGGCGACTGTTAAGTCACCCACCCCGTCGCCTCGCGCTCCAAGACCTCCGTGGCCAACCGACGGTTACCAGGGTCCCACCAAACTGTTTACACCGGGCGGGGTAACGTCATTTCCGGCTCTGTCGGTCTCCGGTCTCCGCCCCTTTTCAGAACCTCGGAAAGAGGCTTTTCTTTAAAAACAAGCAAACAAACGTCTCTCCCGCAGGAAGGAAGCGCTTCACGCGCCCGCCCGCTGTGGATGCATCCGCGCTTTGAAGGAGGGGGATGGAAAGAGAAGGGGGAGGGGGTGGATCATGTCACTCTGGAATCTGCCGTTCCCTCCCCTCCTCCTGGCGTCATGCCTTGTGTTTCCTGGGCTGCAATCAACAGTGACAGGTGCCTAACAATGTTGCTAGGCTGAGACTACTCTGGTCTCTGGGAACAGTAGTCAAGAAAGAAAATCTCTCCCACCGTTAGGCTTTTGTGTGGCTCTCACTACTTTGGAAGAGGAGAACTACACATCCTTCTCAGGCATCAGCGGTCTAGGCCAGTGGTGGCTAACCTTTTTCAGCTCCTGTGCCAATAATTGAGTGCACGCTCACTTGCGCACGCTCGTGTGCCAGCACCCAGAAGGCAATGCATGTTGAGGGCCCCCTGAGCATGCGCGCATGATTCCCCCCTCATGCACCATGCATCTTTGTGCATGCGCTCAACTCCCTCCTCGTGCACCACATGCACGTGCGTTTCCCCCTTGTGCACAGCATGTCTGCGCATGTGCATGCAATCTCCTCATGCTTGGTGCATGAGGCGCACGTGTCTCCCGTGCACGTGTCTCCCGGCGCATGCGCACGTGTCTCCCGTGCACTCCCCTCCGCCCCCTGCACATGCATGCCAGATACCCAATAATCAGCTGTTCGGCGGCGGCACACAAGCGCATGCGCAGTGGGGCTCTTCTGGGCGACCTCTCGTGTGCCAGGGGGAAATGGCTCTGCGTACCACTTCTGGCACACGTGGCATAGGTTCGCCAACATGGGTCTAGTTCTCTGCTAGGCTGTGCAAGTCCTCTGAAGAGCTGGCACATGAATGAAGCACCTGGGTTTGAATAAAAATTGAACAAAGGGCAACTTTATTAGATTCATAAGGCTATCCAGCTGAACACTGATTTTGGGAAGCATGCTGATTTTTTTTTTTTTTTTAAAGATACAATGCCTAAGGAAAAAACAGATAGTAAAAATAAATGTGTGACTGACACACTGCACTCCAGACGGGCCTGGCCTAACTGGTCTCAGAATTTGGGGAAAATAATAGGTCAGAGATTGTTTGAAGGCTTGCAGGATTGAGGCAGTCTGAATCTCCAGGGGGGATGTTTCTCTAAAGGCAAGCACTGCGGCAGAGAAGGTGCACTTCCTAATCCCATCAAATGACATTGCTTAGTGGATGGGACAAGCAAGGCAACCTTGCTATGTCAGATCTTATGAGCCAGGCAGAAATGATAGGACTGAAGCATTCCAAGGCACAGAGCTTATATATCTGAGGAAGGACTTTATAATTCATAAACTGCATCTCGAATTGTATGTGGAAGCTCACTGATGACCAGTGCACTTCACACAGCAGAAATGTTACCTGGGTGTACTGAGATGAGCCCAGAATTGCTCATATCTTTGCATTCTGGATCAGCTGTAGCTTTCCAGTGGTCTTCAAAACCAGTCCCAGGTAGAGCACATTAGAAAGTACCCAGATCTGAGTGATCACAAGACTCCTGGTCCAAGAAAGAACACATTTAGTATACCAAATGAATCTTTGAGAAAATCCTTACAGCTAAATTGCCACCTTTTCTTCAAGCAAGATGCAATGGATTGTAGCTATGGAGTGGGAAGTGTTATGACTACACTGAAGAGGCAGTTTTCCAGGAAGGAAGGAGCACATTCTAAGGAGATGAATGAGACAAGAGACAACACAATCCAGAGGTAGATTGGAGACAGGAAGAGATTTAGGATAACCACTTCCCTAGGGCAGGGGTGTCAAACTTGGTTTCATTGAGTGCCACATCAGGATTGTGTTTGACTTGGGGTTCCGGGTGGGTGTGGCCAGGGTGGGTGTTGGGTATATGGATACACCAACCAGGTTTGGGTTGAATAAATATGTAAACCTAGTTTTAAGTGTTTTGTAGCTTTAAGCAAGAAACTGCAATGTCATTGTGGGTGCGGTTGCAGGCAGTAATAAAGGTAGGAAGGGAAACGTAATAGACCCGGCTTCTGGATGCACCTGGTTCTGTTCCTGGTCTGCTGCCTGCTGGAACGTCTATCTGCTTACTCTTGGAGGCTACTGTGCCAGATACCATTTCAACTGAACACAAAGACTGTTTGCTTGGTGAGCTGAGGATTCAGCGTTGTCTTTGAGAGAAAGGTATCGGGAGGAGAAGATTTACAAGCAGATAAGGACATTGTATTTACTGTTAATGGACTTGATAACTGGATGGATATACTGGATAATGATATATGGACTGAATGACACTTCTTAATCTCTGTGTGTATTAAATAACTATTTTAAAACCACAAACAGTGTTTTTGTCTCCAGTGTGTGTATACTCCTGGGCCCACTCTCTCTCTCATTTGCCTGCCTGGCTTGACTGCTGCTGCATACTCTGCTTGGGGGTTTATCCCCAAACACTAACATTGGGCATGGCCAGCTTGATATCTTTCGTGTCAGGGGTGCCTGTGGTGACCTGAGTGCTCTCCCAAGCTCCATTTTTGGCTTGGATGGCCTCCTGTAACCCTCTGCCACACAGCCCTTCTGAGCTCCATTTTTGCTGGCAGAGGCACTGCGGGCTGGTCCTTTGCTGTTTCCAGGGTGGGCCAGATCTAAGCATCCCCATGGGCTGGATCCAACCCACGGGCCTTGAGTTTGACACCCCTGCCTTATATCTGTCAAGGTTTCTGTCTATATAATGTAAACAAAGAACTGGATTTTTCTGGGTTGCTCTTGGCCTAAGCAGACCCCAAATTGTGCATACATTCTGTAAGGGATTGTTCAAAATAATAGGAGAATCTGTAGCACCAGAAGAACCATGCATCCCTAGTTCTTTAGTCTTATCAGACTTAAGTTTTAGCCTGATTTCCCCCATCCAGATCTGAAGAGCCTTCAAATACTGGGACAAGATCTCGGCAACATCACTGGAGTGACCACATTTGAGAAGTTTGGTTAAGTATCATCAACATACTGATGATTCCCTAAATCCATGCAGTAGATGACATCCAAAATTCCATGAAGATGTTAAACATCAGGGATTAAAGTGTCAGGTCTTAGCTATCCTGCAAATTAGGGATTTTGGACTGGATTTTTTTCCCCATCAATCAATACTGATCATAATGTAAAAAGGAGGAAATCAAGCACAATATTGTGCCTTCTGCTCCAAAACCACATAGCTGGTCCAGAAGGATACCATGATTAAAATGCCACTTAGAGAACAAGAAGAAGAACCAATATTTTTGCCCCAGAAAAGGAACTTTGTATGTATGCGGGCATGCATGTGCAGATGGGAACAACTGGGAACAAGTGTAGAAGCAGCATGAGAAAAGATGTGGCTGCATTAATGAGGAGATGGCTGAACTCACAGGAGTAAAAGGTACTTAGGGATCTTAGAGCCAGAGTCTCTGTAGTCACAAAGACAGCAAATGGCAAACCACGTGACATGCTGTCATAATGCAAGCTTTGACTGTTTTTATATTTACAACCCAAAGTTGCACTCAAATACAGGAGAATTTCAAACAAATGGGTCAATTACACGGAAGCATAAATTGAAGGCAAAGACAGCCCTAAAAAGGACAGACAATAGAATAACAGAATTGGAAGGGACATCTTTGAGGTCTTCTAGTCCAACCCCCTGCTTAGGCAGGAAACCCTATACTATTTCAGAGACATGGTTATCCCAATCTCTTCTTTAAAACTTCCAGTGCTGGAATATTTACAACTTCTGGAGGCAAGTTGTTCCACTGATTAATTGTTCTAACTGTCAGGAATTTTTTCCTTAGTTCTAGGTTGCTCCTTGATTAGTTCCCATCCATTGCTTCTTATCCAGCTTGACTTCCCCTTCTTTATGGCAGCCCTTAAGATATTGGAACACTGCTATAATCTCATCTCTAGTCCTTCTTTTTATCAGACTAGACAGAGGTTTCCTAGTCCTTCTCTCTATATGTATATAGAGAATAGTCATGTGAGAGAGTATAGAAGATAGGTTTTGATTTGATATATATAACTGAAGAGTATTTGATTGAATGTAGCACATCATGTATCTTGTGAGGTCAATGAGGTTACTAGAGCATAACTAAGTGGTGATGGGCAGGACTACAAAGACAACAGGAGTTTTGAAAAAGCAAAAGGGAAATATTTCATGATTTTTTTTGTGGAGAGTTACTGCTTTGAGAATTCTCAAACTGCTTGATTCCAAAAATCTATGTTTGTTTCCTAGCATCTTTTCCTGGCTTATCAGTATCCCTTAGCATTCCAAATGTTTTATGGCTCAGCTGACAGTTTAGTTTCCCTATGGGGATGTATTTGAGCTAAGGACTTTTAGCCTGATCTCCAATATTCCTCTTCACAAGTTTGCATCAGATGGAAATTACAGGCGTCAGCAGTTACTGGTATACAAATGGCTGTAAAGAAAGCCTAGAGCAACCTTGAAGGCAAATGGAAAGCAGAAAGAGGACTGGGGGAAGATGGATGGCTAGGGCAAAAATCCAAGATCTCTGTTTTGTCAGTATTGAGCCTGAAGATGAGTGATAGCTACAATAGGAGTTGTAGGATT